CTAAATGTATATGTTATTTTATCACGATAAAAACAAGGACCCAGAAAATATGTATATACTTCGTTGGATCTCAGATGTTATTCCTTGATGTTACACACTGAATGACAAACACTTCAAGGGTATAAAGAAAAATATATACTGGGGATATATCGAACTGATTTTATAATTACTTAAAACATGTATCCCTTCCCCAATGATCCTTATATCTTCTTAATTAAGGATTATATCATTACGAGGCCGAAGTGGAGTTCTCACTTATAGTAAAGGACGAATGCAAAACTGATGATAAGGTAATTCTGACATTGTAAAGTAAAATATAGTAGCACTAATGAAGACATTTTAGGAGACGGAGGAGATGAAATTTTACTTGATAGTTTTCGGAAGAGAGATATGAATGACAAACATAGCTACCATAGACAGAAAAAGTCGAAGCAATACTGAAAACTATTGTTGTTAGGATGAATCCAGATCTAGTTTTAATTATTTATGTTGGAGGACACTTACGTGGTAGACATCGAGTTCAATTCTTGTAGCTTGTCTACGCACCTGAGTTTAAATTGATCCAAAATATTGCAAAAAAAAGTTGTTCTTAAGATGGAAGTTAACAACACGCATTGTACGCGGCAACGCGTTATAGGCTTCTGTCAAAAAAAGTTGAAATAGTGTGTTTTCAATTAATAAGTAACACACTGTAGTTTGTAACGCGTCTGCCGCGAAAAGTTCAGTGACTCTAAACTTTATTCTTCAAAAGATTCTGCAGCACAAAAGTAAATTTTATTATGAAAATGTGATTAGATTCTAAAATTGATTTTGAATGCTGTTGATAGCTGATAATGACAATATCATGTTCATAATACATAATCGAATATATTTTTGTCTATGAAATGATTACCATGTTTCTAAGCTAATTAATCATTTCAAGGAAAAATTCGCCACACTTATAACCTCTAGAAAAGTTTCGATCGAGCAGCTATGTGATTTAAAACCTTAGAAGTTTCATAAGTTAGATATGTTAAGAAAAGATGAATTTATACTATAATCAAACTATAATCATTTTATTGCAATCGTATTTTTTTGATAAATTTCAGTATGATCAATAGGATATTAAACTATTAGAAACATTCATATTGTTTGTAATTAACATTTAAATGTTTTGTCTTATCTCTGAAATGTGTACTTAACTATCAACGACTGTCCTGTTTTTGTCATATGGATTACCTACTCTAATTGGGATTTTATGATGTTTTTGTTTGTCATGTTTGGGTGCTGTTTCATTTTTTTTTTTTGCATTCAATTTACCTGTTTGTTATTTTGATTTCGAGTGCATATTTTCCTTAGACAATCATCAACCCAACATGACAAATATGTTAATAACAAACCATAAAATAATGTTTGTTGTTCTTATTTTAATTTTTCAAAACAAAATTCAAAATATGTTTTTCCTTTATAAAGAGTGTTTTAAGCCGTAATAGTGAACAGTTCCTTAACTACTCTCAAACCTTCAACAAGTGTGTTTTACGTGGTGTTCATTGAAATTGTGAAAAACCTTAAGAAATTGGTAAATATTTTTAAACAATTTTCGTTTTCTTATTTTATTTAGTTACTTACTATAACATTAAGTGTTAATAATTAAAAAGTATATATAATTTGTTGCCACACGCAAACACAGTTTATAAAGTATTTTTCACGCGTGCCATAACTTTAAGAACTACTTATGTAGTACATATCGAAATAAGTTTGTTTCCCTTTCTTTGTCATTTTAGAGCTAGATTTTTCAGTAGTTTCAGTTAATCAAAGCATATAATTCAATTAAAGTAATTTTTATATATTTTGTAACAAAGCGTGTTGTTTTATTTTGTTAATTATGTGTCGTTTTTTTTCAAGTGCAAGTCTTTATTTTTTAATTAATGTAAAGGAATTTCGAAAATTTTATCATTTAGTTAATGTGTGTTGGTAGAGCATTTTGTATGAAATTTTCGATACATTTTTTATATTAAGGGAATTTCTGATAAATTTTCTATTTTTAGAAATTTTTTGATAAATTTTCTATTTTTAGAAAAGATTTTGATAAATTTTCTATTTTTAGAAAATTTTTGGATAAATTTTCTATTTTTATAAATTTTTTGATAAATTTTATATTTTTAGAAAATTTTTTGAAAAGTTTTCTATTTTTGGAAAATTTTTATTTTTAGAAAATTTTTTGATAAATTTTCTATTTTTAGTAAATTTTTGATTTACATAAAATTTTCGATAAATTTTCTATTTTTAGAAAATTTTATATTTTTGGAAAGCAATTTTAAAATTTTTTCTAATTTTAGATTTTTTTTTTTTGATAAATTTTCTATTTTTAGAAAATTTTGTGATAAATTTTCTATTTTTAGAGAATTTTGTGATAAATTTTCTATTTTTAGAGAATTTTTGATAAATTTCGATTTGGGCCGTATTCATAACAATTTTAGAAAATTTTGATAAATTTTATATTTTTAGAAAGTTTTTGAAAAAATTTTTAATTTTTAGAAAATTTTCGATAAATTTTATATTTTTGGAAAATTTTAGACAAATTTTATATATTTAGAAAATTTTAGATAAATTTTCTATTTTTAGAAAATTTTCTATAAATTTTCTCGAATTTTTAGTTTTAGAAAAGTTTTGATATTTCATTACGATTTTTGTTAAATATTCTATTTTTAGAAAATGTTCGATACATTTTTAGAAAATCATTTTTCTATTCTAAGAAAATTTTTTTATTATAGAACATTTTGTAAATTCAAATTTATAGATAATATTTATAGAAAATCTTTGATAAATTCCCGATTTATAGAAAATTTGGAATAAATTCCCGATTTATAGAAAATTTTTGATAAATTTTTGATTTATATAATATTTTCGATAAATTCTCTTTTTATAGAAAATTTTCGATAAATTCTAAGTTTATAGAAAATTTTCGTTATATTCTAGAAAAAATCTTCGATAAATTCCCGATTTATAGAAAATTTTCAATATATTCCCGATTTATAAAAGAATTTTTCATAAATTTCCAATTTATATTTAAATTCAAATTTATAGATAATATTTATAGAAAATCTTTGATAAATTCCCGATTTATAGAAAATTTTGAATAAATTCCCGATTTATAGAAAATTTTGGATAAATTTTTGATTTATATAATATTTTCGATAAATTCGCTATTTATAGAAAATTTTCAATAACTACTACGTTTATAGAAATTTTTTGTTATATTCTAGTTTTATAGAAAATCTTTGATAAATTCCCGATTTATAGAAAATTTTCAATAATTTCCCGATTTATAAAAAATTTTTCATAAATTTTCAATTTATAGAAAATTTATGTCTAGATTTATAGAAAATTTTTGATAAATTTAAGATTTATAAACATTTTTTAATAAATTCTCGATGTAAAGAAAATTTTCCATAAATTCTAGATTTATAGAAAATTTTCGATAAATTCTTGATTCATAGAAAATGTTTAACAAATTCTCGATTTATAGAAAATTTTTAACAAATTCTCGATTTATAGAAAATTTTTCATAAATTTTCAATTTATAGAAAATTTATGTCTAGATTTATAGAAAATTTTTGATAAATTTATGATTGATAAATTCTCGATGTAAAAAAAATTTTCCATAAATTCTAGATTTATAGAAATTTTTTGATAAATTCTTGATTCATAGAAAATTTTCGATAAATTCTTGATTCATAGAAAATTTTTAACAAATTCTCGATTTGTAGAAAATTTTCAACAAATTCTAGATTTATATAAATTTTCCAATAAATTCTCGATTTATAGAACATTTTAAAAAATTTTAGTTTTTTTACATTTTCAATAAATCTTCCATTTAAAGTTTACACAGGCCGACAAAGAAAGAATAGACTTTCAGATGACATACACCATTTTATACATAAACTTGTCTTGGCGCTGTTATAACGTCTCAAAAAGGGCCAGAAATTGCATTTTCTTAAATTTCAGGACACTATATCTCAAATCCCAGATGTGATGGAGAAAATCTGTAACGTAATCTGTCAGCCTATGTTAAATTTATAAAAAATATTCTATAAATTCTGGATTTATATAAAATTTTCTATATTCTCTAGATTTGTGATTATAGATTTTTTGAAAATTTTCGATAAATTCTGATTTTTTTTTTTTTTGAAAAATAAACCAATAATTTAAAAAGTAGTCCACGTTTTTTTTTATGTCTAAAGCCCGATCGTTTTAATTGATCTGGAATACTTCTTAATTACAAAGTCATTAAGTGAAAACCAACGTAAATTTTAATTTAAGTAATAAATTTAAAAAAGCTGTCAATAAATTAGTGATACTCTAAAAAAACACAAAAGTTTATTTAAACAAAAAGCTTTTTTTCAGTTCTATAATACTAGTTTAAAAATTCATGACATGAATAAGACATTTTTCACTGCCAAGATCCCGTAAATCATGCAAAGGTTGTTTTGAAAATGTGTGTGCATTGATTTGTGAACTCATGACTGATCTTTAAATAATAAAAATGGTTGTTAGATGAAGAAAATAAAAACAAGACACATTATTTTCTTGTAAAAGTTTATTTTATTTGAAAGCAGATAAAAAAAGCACTGTAGCTAAATCACGTTTTAGCAGAGGCGTCACGCCTGCGTATTCACACCACGCACTTACATACTTTATAAATGTTAAAAAAAAACAGAAAATGTTTTAAGAATTTTTGTGAATTTTTTCATATGCTTTTTGTTAAACATGATTAGATTCCAAAATATATTTTACTACAATTGTTTATTTGTTGCTTGTACCATGTCTGCTATTGACATTGATTAATTAATTACTGATTTTATTTTCTGTGGAGGGGGAGAAAATACTATTGTGGCTTTTAAGTTTGAAATACAAAACGAATTAGACAATTTAAATTGTAATTTATATTTCACATGTTTATCTCAAATATTTATTAATGTTGTTTTTATCACATTCTTTTTTTTTGTGTTTCTTTTCAGATTATTGTTAAATCAACAAGATTTATTTGGATTTTATTTTAATAAAATTTGTATATTTATTAAAACAAATTATTAAATATAAATTATTTATTTGTGTAAAATAAAAAAAAACTACTTCAAAACCCCCAATTTTAAATATAACACAAAGTTCAAAATGTTTAGTCCGGATTATGAGAAACGTATTTTGAAACATTGTAGTCCAGTGGCTAGAAATCTATTTAATTCATTTGAAGCTGCTTCTACCACATCATCGCTGGATCGATTTATACCTTGCAGGTAAGTTTTTACTTTATACACGTTTTAATTTACTTTTCTTCTACGTGTCTTTAACAAATGTTTCTACTGTATAATAGTTCAATGTACCCGTTGGTTTTCTCTATGAACCAAATGAAATTATATTTATTTTTATCCACACGATAACTTGGCTGGTTTTGTTGTGCTAAGTGTTCTTGTGTTTTCTGTTTATTATTATTATTTTCAATTGTAAATCTTTCTTTCATCTTTATAGTTAATGCTAGTCGCGGTCGTTGGTAATACTAACGCTGTAATTTGTAACGCTCTGTTGATTAAATTTTTCATTAGATTTGTTTTATCTCCTTAGGTTTTTTTAATTTCGTTTTTTCTTAACATTTTTTTCTAACTTTTAACATTATTAAATACATAGTTTTAGTTCAAAATGGGAAAAGAAACTAGAGTTTTTTTCATTAAAACTTTCGAAAAGTAAAAACTATTTTAATGATCCCAGCAAAAACTTGCATTGAAAGGTAAATGCTAAATTTTACCTCGTCCATTAGCCGTATATAAATCTTCACCCGGAAGTTGTGAAAAGACTCCTAGTACATAAGATTCATCATCCATCACACAATTAGTGTAATTTTACCAAATTATTTTCGCTCGTTTCGTTATTTAACGAATCGATTTGGAACTTTCTAAATTTTATACGACTTCAACCCTGCATTAGCTTTGGCTTTGCGTACAAAAGTATTAGAACATTTAACTTTACGAGCTACTTTTCTCTTTTTCTTACCCATTCACAGTGAGATATTTGGCACTTTTAGAACGACATTAATCAAATCTTAGTGATATTGAGTTCTAATTTTAGTTACAGTTAGCAAACAATTGGCCAAATGCTCCACATAATAATCAGCACGATAAGACTGCTGCCACGCCCATTTTTACAAGTATATATTGAATAAAAATTTAATTTTTGGTCGCATATATCTCAAAACTTTTGCAATCGATTTTAAATTTTTATATATTTTTAGAAAGACAATTTTTATACAGATTGCTATTTATTTATAAGAAAATGCAAAATTTAAATATTTGTAGCACAGTCTCTGCAAAAAGTTAATAAAACCCATTTTCCTTTTTAAACACATTTTCAACGTTTAGATACTGTTTGAAACGGGTTAGTATTATCCAATTTGTCTCAAATGCTCTGCATTGCAGTTTTAGAGCATGCTCTTCTATAATTTTTAAAAACATGCGTTATAATATAACCACCCTAATGAATATTAGGGTAGTCACTCTTAGAAATTTTTATCAAATTGTACAAATATTTGCCTATTAAGCCTGATTGGCTTAAGTAATTGTTTTTTAAAAGCAGTAATTGTGGGCTAATACATGGTGCCAAGGCCAAAATTTATGTATACCCCTAATGTGAGTTTACACTTAATTTAAAAAAACATATTAAATTCTATAGGACACTCTAATTTTTTTGAATATCTCTGAAGATCGCAAAAGGTCACAGCCAATTTTCATATATATGTTTCTATAGAAAATTTCCTATGCAAGGGTTATAATTAGATAACTGCAATTGGCTGCAGTCTTTAGATCTATTCCATTAAAAATATAATTTTTAAATATATTTTTGTTATTAATATTATTTTCCTTAGAGTTAAAAATAAAACCTTTAAAATTAAGCTTTTGTCTAAAAAATAATTACAGAATAATTCCGAAGTATTAAATTATAATATAATTAAATTATAAAATTAAATTAAATTATAAAATTAATATGCCGCTTCAGGAATATTACAAGAAAATTATTTTGTTTTTAAAAGTAGCAACTTTGAGCATCTATATTTCGGGTTGAAGGAACTCTTCAATATTTGTAGTTATTTTTCTATAGTATATGGAATGTTTACTGTTAACTATAATAACAAGCAAGACAATTGGAAAGCGTTTAATTTTTTATTTTTGTTTTAATTCCGAGTCCATTTTGGTCGAAATAACAGTTATATATATAACAGCTGTATATGAACGATTTAGAAAATATAATATCAGATATACAAACGTTTTAAAGCTAACGTGATCATTATAAGTTTAATTTGTTGAACCAGGAGTAAGTTAGGCCTAGAAAAGTGTCTTATAAGTTTTTTCTGACATAGTCCTTATATCTGAACCATGCTAGACCTCTTTTTCTTACCCATTCAGGGTTTCTTTTAAAGCTCAAGTCTTCCTTATATTGTTTAATGACTTTTAAAATAGTTTAACAATAAACCTTCAGATCTTTTGCGGTTTTTATGAAAGCCCATATTGGATTTCTTTTAAAAAGTTTTAATTCCGAGTTCATTTTGGTCGAAATAACAGCTGTATATGAAGGATGTAGAAAATATAATATCTGACATACAAACGCTTTAAAGCTAACGTGATCATAATAAGTTTAAGTTGTTGAACCAGGGTAAGTTAGGCCTAGAAAAGTGTCTATAAGTTTTTTCTGATATAGTACTTATATCTGAATCATGCTAGACCTCTTTTTCATACCCATTCAAGGTTTCTTTTAAAGCTCAAGTCTTTCTTATATTGTTTAATGACTTTTAAAATAGTTTGACGATAAACCTGCAGATCTTTTGCGGTTTTTATGAAAGCCTATATTGGATTTCTTTTAAAAAGTTTTAATTCCGAGTCCATTTTGGTCGAAATAACAGCTGCAAATGAACGATTTAGAAAATATAATATCAGACATACAAACGTTTTAAAGCTAACGTGATCATAATAAGTTTAATTTGTTGAACCAGGAGTATGTTAGGCCTAGAAAAGTGTCTATAAGTTTTTTCTGACATAGTCCTTATATCTGAATCATAAACTTCACTATTTTTTACATAATTTTTATTCATAAATTATTTAAATGTTAATGTTTTTCCAGATATTTGCTTTTATAACAATTTCAATTACAAATTCAAACTTTCATGATTTTATGAGGTTTCTAAGACGAGAAAAAATATAATAATAGCAGACTGTCTGGCTTCATGACTCAATGAACTGAGTCTTAATAATGCAAGGAATAGTAGCTTGTTGTTTGTAAGTTTTTTTTTCTTTCACCACCGCTACTTTTGAATCACTTGTGCGTGACGTTGTTAGGTTTTCTTTTTCAAAATTGTAATTAAACAAAAGCATAAATTACATAAATCTATATATATAAAATTCTAACGTTACTGACTGACTGACTGACTGACTGACTGATTCATCATCGCACAGCCTAAACGGTTGAAGCTAAAGAGCTGAAATTTGGACAGGAGGTTGGTCTCCCGCCAAATAGATCCACTAAGACGGGATTTTTGGAAATTCGAATGTTTAGGGGGTAAAAAAGGGTAAAAACGGGTAAATTCGGTAACCTTATATCTCCTAAACTAGAAAAGATACAAAAACAGTTTAAAGCTTATCGCCGTTCATTTAAAAAATAAACGGACAGGTGTCTGGTACTTTTTTAAAATTCGGCCCCTTTAGGGAATAAACGGGTAAAAACTGTATTTTGGTACTTTTTTCGCACCCCATGTATATTTTAAACCAGTGCACATTCAAAAAATATTTTTGACTCCTTCATAACTTAACGAAAAAATAAAAATACGAATTTAGTACTTTTTGGATATTCGGACGTTTAAGGGGTTAAAATTGTACCTATTTTTGGTACTTTTTTCATAAAACATTGTTTTTGGTTTATTAACTTATACATATGAATACATAATAACAGGCTCCCACTACGATGTTGCAACTTTTTGGAATAGAATTTTTATTTCGTTAATGGGGAGGAAAAAAGTACCAAAAGGGGTAAAAACGGGAAATTTGATTTTATTCAACCACAATGATCCAATTTAGATAAAATTTTTAAATTTAGAAACACTAAATATCCTAATGGGGTGTTATTTGGAACCCCGGTATCAAGTGATATTTTTTGGTACTTTTCATTCTCCAACTGGTCCTTTTTGAGTTTTCTATGATATTGAAATAGAAACATGAAATTAATAATAAAGGGACTTTTCGCTACTTTTTCGTTCTACACAGGTACTTTTTTGAGTTTTCTTTAAAATTAAAGCTAGAAACATGAAATTAAGCATGTAGAGCTCGGAGTAAATGAGAATCTATAAAATGGGACTTTTTGGTACTTTTTCGTTCTTCAAAAGGTACTTTTTGAATTTTCTATAATATTGAACCTAGAAACATGAAATTAAACATGTAGAGACCGGAGTAAATGAGAATGTATAAAAGGGGACTTTTTGGTACTTTTTCGTCCTTCGACTGGTACTTTTTGAGTTTTCTATAAAATTTAACCTAGAAACATGAAATTAAGCATGTAGTTAAGCATGCGGAGGCCTTAGTTAATGAGAATCTATAAAAGCGGACTTTTTGGTACTTTTTCGTCCTTCGACTGGTACTTTTTGAGTTTTCTATAAAATTTAACCTAGAAACATGAAATTAAGCATGTAGAGCCCTTGGTAAATGAGAATCTATAAAAGGGGACTTTTTGGTACTTTTTCGTCCTTCGACTGGTACTTTTTGAGTTTTCTATAAAATTTAACCTAGAAACATGAAATTAAGCATGCGGAGGCCTTAGTTAATGAGAATCTATAAAAGGGGACTTTTTGGTACTTTTTCGTCCTTCGACTGGTACTTTTTGAGTTTTCTATAAAATTTAACCTAGAAACATAAAATTAAGCATGTAGAGCCCTTATTAAATGAGAATCTATAAAAGGGGACTATTTGGTACTTTTTCGTCTTTCGACTGGTACTTTTTGAGTTTTCTATAAAATTTAACCTAGAAACATGAAATTAAGCATGTAGAGCCCTTAGTAAATGAGAATCTATAAAAGGGGACTTTTTGGTACTTTTTTGTCTTTCGACTGGTACTTTTTGAATTTTCTATAATATTGATCCTAGAAGCATGAAATTAAGCATGTAGAGCCTGAAGTAAATGAGAATCTATAAAAGGGGACTTTTTGGTACTTTTTCGTCCTTCGACTGGTACTTTTTGAGTTTTCTATTAAATTGAACCTAGAAACATGAAAATAAGCATTTAGAGCCCGTAGTAAATGAGAATCTATAACAGGGGACTGTTATAGATTCTTCAAAAGGTACTTTATGAATTTTCTATAATATTGAAAATAGAAACATGAAAGTATGCATGTAGAGCTTGGATTAAGTGAGAAACTATAAAAGGGGACTTTTTGGTACTTTTTCGTTCTTCAAAAGGTACTTTTTGAATTTTCTATAATATTGATCCTAGAAGCATGAAATTAAGCATGTAGAGCCTGGAGTAAATGAGAATCTATAAAAGGGAACCTTTTGGTACTTTTTCGTTCTTCAGAAGGTACTTTTTGAATTTTCTATAATATTGATCCTAGAAGCATGAAATTAAGCATATAGAGCCTGGAGTAAATGAGAATCTATAAGAGGGGACTTTTTGGTACTTTTTCGTTCTTCAAAAGGTACTTTTTGAATTTTCTATAATATTGAACCTAGAAACATGAAATTAAGCAAGTACAGCCAAGATTAAGTGATAACCTATAAAAGGGGACTTTTCGGCACTTTTTCGTTCTTCAAAAGGTACTTTTTGAATTTTCTATAATATTGAACCTAGAAACATGAAATTAAGTACGTAGAGCCCGGAGTAAGTGAGAACATATAAAAGGGGACTTTTTGGTAATTTTTCGTTCTTCAAAAGGTACTTTTTGTGTTTTTTATAACATGAAATTAACCATGTGGAGCCCGGAGATAATGAGAATCTATAAAAGGGGACCCTTTGGTAATTTTTCGTTCTTCAACTGGTACTTTTTTAATTTTCTATAATATTGAACTTAGGAACATGAAATTAAATAAAAGAGGTCTTTTGTTACTTTTTCGTACTTCATTGGTACTTTTTGAGTTTTCTAAAATATTGAATATATAAACATAAATTTAAATAGGGGACTTTTTGATATTGCAGATATATATACATTTACAATAATATTTATTTTATTTCATTACGATGAGGGTAGCGAAGCACACTGGGTATAGCTAGTACAAATATAAAATAATAATAAAAATAAATATGCAAATTAGTTAAAACAGGTACAGACAAATAAAACAATACTAAATGCTAAGGTGTTTTACTTCAAATGGGCGCGTGTTTAAAAAAAGTCACATACATACAATTCTTAAAAAATAATACAACACACACACATGTTGTTTAAAACCGCAAATTTTTTAAAATAAAAATTAACACTCATAAACGGAAGTTGACACTATGGTTTCAATAAACAAAATTTAAATATCAATTTCTTTTGTTTGTAAGCCCTTAAACAGGTGAAGGCAAAACAAAAGAATATTTCAAATCTACAGTTTTGTAAATTTACCTTTAAATACGTTTATACTGTTAATATTTATTAAAACTATTTGCCTACCTAAACAATATTGACAAATTTGTTGAAGTTTTTTTTCTTTCTTTCTTTTGATAAATTGCAAATTCAGCATTAGTGTTTTATTGCACATTTAGCATTACATATTTAATTTGATATTTTTATTTGTTAATAATTTTGCACGTTTTTAACATGAATTTCAATTTTTAAAAATTCGCAATTATTTTTGCACATTAAATTTAAAGTTCACATTACCTTGCAAATGCAGGCAAGGTTGCTTGTTTAGTCATACGTCTGTACAGTTTGCATTATTTTATTATGATTTCTAATAAACCATAAATTACATTAAATAATAACAAGGTTTTCTAATAATAATAATTAAATATTCTAAATGCACATATTTTTGCAAAGTTAAAATAATAAATTTTCGAAATACATTTGAATAAAGTATTTTAAATTTAGAAAATTTTATTGAATTACAAATGCAATAGTTATTTTAAAAATCAACCATTGCAGTCGTGATTCTCATGATCAATATTACAAAATTTCAGAAAATACCATTTGAAAAACAAATATTTTCACTGATTTTTTGATTAAGGAGGTAGTCAGCCAAAACTTATACACATTTTTCTATCCCAAACTTCCAACAAATTAAATCCTTTTCTAAATCATTAATTTTCCACTATTACTTCGGTCCTAATGGGATCCGAAAAAAAGTACGTAAAAAAATTATTAAAACTTAAAAAAAAAAAAAAAAAAAAAATACGGATTTTCATAAAAATTATAAAAGATCTGAAGGTTTATCTTCACACCATTTCAAAAGCCATTAATTACTATAATGAAATCTAGAACATTGAAAGAAAACCTGGATCAGGAAGAAAAAAGGTCTTGCAGATATGGATAAGGCAAAATAAGTTGGACAACTGTTACGATGAAAACCAAAGACTTCCATTAGAAAAACAGTTTGTAAGGTTAAATGCTCTGAAACTTCTGTGTGCAGACCCAAACCTAAAGACGGTTAGATGTCGTATAAAGTTCAGATAGGTCATAATCAATTCAGAAAATAACTTAGAAGCAAAAAAACGAGCTGGGTTGATGTATAAAGTTCAGATAGGTCAAGATCAATTCGGTAAATATATCCAATGTCTTTCTAAAAGGACTGAATTGTAGTTATTGTAACAGTTCCTCTGTGGCCGATAGTTCTTTCCTGAAATTAGAGTAATAAAAACTTAATTATTTGAGTTTGTGTCTGTGGGTGGAAGGGGGAGCTGGAGAAACTGCACCACCTCAGTCGGTCTTAACAATAGGTCTATGGGGCGCTAATTTGTAGACCTAACGGGACAACAGAATACATGCACCGTGTCATGTGGACTTTGATGACAGGCAGGGCAACGATTTAAAGTGCCTGGAACGATTCGTTCACGGTAACAGTTGAGGAAACTGTACCAACTTGCTCTTAATTGTGCCAAAATGGTTCTAGAATTGTAGTTGTTGTTGTAACAGCTAGACTGTGGCTGATAGTTCTTTCCTGGGGAAAAAACTTTCGGTTGATACAGCTGTCGCTCGGTTAATAATCTTTGGCCGAGTATGAATCGGGTCGTGCCGTAGTGAAGATACAAATGTCGGGTGAACGACTGAATTGTAGTAAAGATGCCGTTTTTAAATTAATGGATCATTAGTTTAGGTCATATAAAGTTACCGAATTTGAACCCCATATTGTGCTCATTTAAATGAATTTTTTTCATTCTTATGAACTATTTTTAACATTATACTCTTTCTAATATATCTCTAACACTCCCTACATTTACAATCTGATTCCTATTCATAATCTAATATCAAATTTTTTCTTTTTTTGTTCCAGGGCAAATAATAATTGGCAAACAAATTTCGCTTCAATAAACAAATCAAATGAAAATTCACCACAGACTAGTAAAAAACAAAGAGATTGCGGCGAAACGGTTCGTGATAGTTTAGCCTATTCATGTCTATTAAAAAATGAATTATTGGGCACGGCCATTGAGGATGTAAAGGCCGTTAGTGATGAGCGTAATGAAAATGCATACACACCCGCTGCCAAAAGAAGTTTATTTAAATATCAATCACCTACAAAACAGGTAAGTTAATGTTTTTTTTTATTAGTCACTTAAAATAAATACTTATTGTATTGCTACAACATCCGCTTTTACGAAACGGAAATGATTACATACTTTTCCAGCATGTTTAAAATTGCTTAAAAATTTCAAAATTATCAATATTAATTAAAAATTCATTTTTCGTTTATGTTTAAAACTAAAAAGTATTCATTTAAGTAAAAACATTTTAATTGCAATTCTTAATTTATTTTAATCTTTTCATATTTTCCATTTCAATGTGTCCATGTCGTGCATTATTTGTTGTCGTTTTTCATGGCACAATCAAATATTTTCTTAAAAAATAAATCAAGTTTTTTTTTTTATAAATTTTTAATATCTACTATTAGTGTTTTAGTGTATGAAAAGTTGCATGTGCTGCTTAATATGTACAAGATTTTTTTAATCATAAATTACTCAATTCTCGTGCAACATTTTGGTGTCTATGAGCTTATCTGTTTTTTTTAAGTTTTAAACATTTAATTTATGCAATTTTCTTTTCTGTTTTCATAAAGAGTTTTATTTAATTTAATATGTAGTTCTATGCAGTAGGTTTGTGTTTAATCAGTTTTTTTATATTAAATATTAGGTTCGTGTCTAGAAAATGTTTAAATATTAATATAGTTTTTTTGAGGAAAACATGAAAATTGTCTGCATAGAAGTTGTTTTCATAACATTAAAAAGAGTTTCATTTTAAGTTGCCAGTGTAATATGAAATTAAACTGAAATTTAGAGAATAATTTGTTATAGGATTTGTAAAATATAGACCATAACTTTTTTAGTTTGACTGTTGTTGCTATTTAAAAAAGTGCTAAATGTTGATGAAACTAATTCTAGAGTATTACTACAAAAAAAAAAAAAATAAACCTTTTTGGTGTAGTTTGGTAATTGGTCTTATTGTTTAACCGCCTATATTCCATGTATTGCTTCGTATTCCAATCTCCTTAGGTCCACGTAGTTTTAGAAAGTTATATAAAGATAGAACTCCACTCGGAGACCATGTGATTCCCTTCATAGAGAGTGAAGACCCAAAGATCGAGAAAACACTTAAAGAAAACAAAACTATCATAAGTAGAGGGCAGAGAGGAATTAAAATACGTCAATTCCCAAGGGTTACAACCTGGAATTTTTGCCGAATCGATTCCCTAAGAAATAATTATGAGAGAATCTGAGTTTGTATTCTAGAACAGTGGCAATTATGTGCTCAATCGTATCTAGTTCTAGTATCTAGCTGGTTGAATATCTTAGGGATTCTCTCGAGAATCAAGCTATAATTCCACTCTTCTATCCATATCAAGGTTCAAACTTAATCTAGCTTGTTCGCCTTTAACTTCATTACCATGTACATTGCAGTATTCAGGCACCCAAGACCATTTCTACGATCTACAACCAGGCGCGAATGTTCTCTATGATCAGTCAGTGCTCTAAAAGCAGCTTAACTAACGACATAAATTAAAAATTATCACAACCGACCTTAGATCGATATGTTTCCGTATCATTTCCGTCGCTTTCCAGGTCGCAAGGATATCTGTTTGGATGACACTACATTCGTCAGGGAGTTTACATATATCGGCAGCAGTGATATATAGACAACGGCACGTGTGCACATACATATATGGATATCGACTCACTTCATTGGGATTGTGTTTCAAGAGAATGTGTTCTTCTGAAATTAGGGACTTCCGAAGATTTAGATTTATACTTGCCTTTCTTTCTATATACAGCCAGTCGCAGTCGATGGGCCATTGAATTTCATATTCAATTTAGGTCCACCCAATTGCGATCCTGTTGTAATGCCCTAGTGATCATAGGAGTCCATTATTAAACTAGCCGGATTTGATTTAAACCAGCCGGTTTGATTTACAAAGTTTAGGATATTTTTGAGGCTTATCCCAGATAGCTCTTCCAAACAAGACATTATCTCTTCCTTCTCATTATGACAACTTTTACAGAAGTCGTTGTATTCAATACTCATTCTTCTGGCGTGTTTCGTTATGGCTGATAACAGCATTCTTATATGCACCCTACGAAAACTTAACAGTAATCTTGAGCTGGGAGCATCATATAGAGGCCAAATTGTTTGAATAAGTTTTTATAAAACTACTCACTTGATCCTCTCTCCCACAACATATTTTCTCAGTTCGAATCCAATGGACAGCAGGGTTCAGGCAGATCAAAGTAAAGTAAACATTAATACAATTTAATTGTAAATAAATCCAATTTTAGTTAAATAAATTGAAGTTCAAATTGTTAACTCTGTTTTTAAAGCATTCTATTTCTGGCCATCCTTGGCTCAGCTTAAAATCGGTTGAAAATTGTAGAATTTACATGTGTATAAAAAATTTAAAAACATCTGAAAGTGTAAGAAACAACAGTTTTGATTGGCACAGATTTGAGAATTAATCAAATCATTAACTTCGTCAACTTTGATTTTAAATTTCATTACTTTCTTAAAGATATGTTATTCTAAATGCACTTGTATTTTCTTTTATTACACCTGTTTAATATTTTAAAATATTTTTTTTACTTCATAAATCTAGTTTCTTTAGAACACTGACCTTTTTATAAAATTAAAAGAAATGAATCTATTGTTATCTATTCCAATGAAGAGTTAAACTGGTTTTAGCTATAAAACCTCTAAATGAAATCCAGTGTGTTAATAAAATGTGACGTACATAACGTATGTAGGTAATGTACATATGTATTTATTATATGTAAACACTTAAATACATATGTACATTTATACATACATACACGTGTCGGGAAAATATTTTCTCTCTATTTGGTTCTTATTGTTATAACTTGTTTTCCACCATTTTTTGTTTGTTTGCTTCCATTTTCTATGATCTAACATTTTAGCTACTACCGTTAGTTTTGTTAAGCAAAACAAAAGAAAACATGAATGAGCAGTTTCTTTAAGGAAAAATATAATGGAAAATAAAGTCAATAACCAGAATTATTGTTTATTTAAGCAGACATTCTCAGACAAGAAAACCGACCATAATAAATGTGGTCTTCTGTGTCGTGTGAAAAGTTAAAAAGTGATTGACTTTTTTCTTCAGTACAAGTAGTTTTAGTAATATTAAAAGATTTCTTTTATATTATTATCTTTTTATCATTATGTTTTTATGTGTGTTAGTGTTGTTATCAACATAATTTTTTAAGATATAAAAATGATTGATGTATTCTTACATTTATTTCTTTAATTTTTGTTAATTTTACATTATAAACTTTCTTTATAATATTGTCGAGTATTGTATAGAAAAACTCAATTGGTTTTGAAGTCGTCTGCGTAGTTAATAATCTGTAAAATTTAAATTTTTAATAAATTTTTTTTTGTTGCAGTATTAAAGTACGAGTATTAATCGTACATCATCAATCATGCGTTTAAAGTGGTTCATTAAACTGACTTTTGAACATTTGTTAGCATATTTATTATTAATTCCAATAAAATAACAAAACCCAAAACTATTTATTCAAATTAAAGAGTTTTTATATTTTAAAATATGCAAACCCCTATTTATAGGTTAATTTTTTTTGGAATATTTAAACAATTTATCAGTGTCAATAGATTATGTGCTATTTACCTATTTTTTTAGTTCTGGTATTTTGCTTGAGGCAGAAATACAAGAAAAATAAGATTATACACAGAGAGAAACTTAAGTTATTAATTCTTAAATTATATTATTTTGAACAATTCCCAGTAAACTTAATGATTTTTTATACCATTTTTATTCTTGGGTATTTATAAGTCTGTCATTCCGTTCGCAATTTCTGACCGAATATTCTGAATACTTATGGATACGAAGTATACTTAGCTATTTTAGCCCTCCCATATGTTTGTTGAAATCAAGATTTGAAGTCACCAGATAACTTCAGTATCCCAATATTCGATCATTCTACTAAACACGCTTGCTTGAAACTACACAAAAAAAAAAAAAAAAAAATCGCATACTAAATTTAGAACTTTAGAACGTTTTGATAACATATAATTCTCATTTAGTTAAGAATATTTTTGGCAATAGTAGCTGAAATAATATGAATTTTAAAATGAAGTACGAATCAAACTCAAATCAAGCTCATTTTAGGATTAATTTACACTTTTACATATTGAAATCAATCTGATTTTCAGATTAAATCAAACCGAATATTCTCAAAATATGTACGCAATAAAATCACTTTGACCTAAAACGCTAAATTAGGTTTTTCGTACTTAATGGATCCATACTTGAATAAAGTATTTTGTACTTGGTCTAAGAAAAACCGTACTTTTTTCAAATGTATTATTTGTTTTCGATTCAAAATAATACTCAATAATATTCAATAATATTAAATAAATATTTTTTTATATAATGAGCACATTGTCATAAGAAACGTATTTTTTATTAAATAAATATTATTCTTTTAAACAAAAGACCATAAAAAGTTTAATATATGAAGGTATATATATTGATTCAAGTGTCACTTTACTGTCAGTTGACCTCACTGAAGTAGTTGCCAACATATTCACACAAAAACCAAATACAATATACAGTAATTAATAGTTTTTGTTATAACAAAACAAACAAACTTTCTTCATACAAATCATATATACACATCAATTATTTACTATTTTATTTCAATATTATTTTGAACAATTCAATAGAAAATAAAAAGACGTTGCTAGCACTTGACGCTTTTTTGTTTATTTTTATTAAGAAATTAAGAATATTTTTATTTATTTAAGTGTTAAATGTGGGCTCTGTCATTATTCGACATATTTCAAAATTTTATTTGATTTCTTTTGTTAAAATTTTATCACATACAAAAATTTTGATATTTGAACAAAATATCTGATAAAATTTCAAAAACAACAATGATGAAAGCGGCATAAACTTAAAACATTTTATTACAAAAATATTTTTAAACATTTATCATATTATATTTTGTTTATCTATAAAATTTAATCATCTGTTTAAGCATGTGCCAAAGTCATTACTCTGGAG